CTGCCTCAGCCTCCTGAGTAGCTGGGATTACAGGCGCACACCACCATGCCGGGCTAATTTTTTGTATTTTTAGTAGAGACGGGGTTTCACTATGTTGGCCAGGCTGGTCTCGAACTCCTGATCTCGTGATCCACCTGCCTCAACCTCCCAAAGTGCTGGGATTACAAGCGTGAGCCACCGCGCCCGGCCTAATTTTTGTATTTTTAGTACAGATGGGGTTTCACTGTGTTGGTCAGGCTGGTCTCGAACTCCTGATCTCAAGTGATCCACCCACCCTGGCCTCCCAAAGTGCTGGGATGGATTACAGATGTGAGCCACCATACCCGGCCCAGTGCCAGACTTCTAACCTTTAAAATTATAACAAAATAAGTTGGTATTGTTTTAATCCACTAAGTGTATGGGAATTTGTTACATCAGCAATGGAAAACTAATATACTAGTTCACCTATCATTTCCCCTTCCACTAGTGAGACCAGTAGAGAACTGCATATGTATCGCCTCTCTTACCCAGGGGCACCACCACATATCCTTATTTTATTAACTGTGGTTTGTTTATGGTGTCATAGGCTGAAATTAAGCAGCACTACAAAAATCAACCTTGGGCATGGTGACACATGCCTGGAGTCCCAGCTACTCAGGAGACTGACGTGGGAGGATCGATTGAGCCCAGGAGCTTGAGGCTGCAGTGAGCTTTGACCAGACCATTGCACTCCAGCCTGGGTGACACAGCAGAGCTGTCTAAATAAATAAATAATAAATAAATAAATAAATAAAATTGCCCTTAGCACCAGCTTGCATAGGGAAAAAAGAAGAAAAGAGAATTTTGTAGCCAGGCATGGCGGCTCATATCTGTAGTCTCAGCTACTAAAAAGGCTGAAGTAGAAGGATCACTTGAGCCCAGGAGCTCCAGGCTGCAGTGAGCTATGACCAGTGAGCACTCCAGCCTGGGCTACAGAGCAAGACTCCATCTCTAAAAAAAAAAAAAAAGGCTAGGCATGCTGGCTCACACTTGTAATCTCAGCACTTTGGGAGGCCAAGGCACGCACATCACCTTAGGTCAGGAATTTGAGACCAGTCTGGCCAACATGGTGGAACCTCATCTTCACCAAAAATACAAAATTAGCAGGGCATGGTGGTGGGCTCCCATAATCCCAGCTACTTGGAAGGCTGAAGCAGGAGAATCACTTGAACCCCAGAGGCAGAGGTTGCAGTGAGCTGAGATTATGCCATTGCACTCCAACCTGGGCAAAAAGAGCGAAACTTCATCTAAAAAAAAAAAAAAAGCTCATGAAACTATTTGCTGTTTTTGACATGATGTTGTTAAGAAAGATTTTATTATACCCAAGTAAAGAGACATGATCTCCCAATGTATGTTGCCCAGACTGGACTTGAACTCCTGGGCCCAAATGATCCCCTCACCTCAGCCTCCAGAGTAGCAGGGACTACAGGCATCACTGGCACATCTGGCTCCAAGGAGAAATTTATTTTCTGTCCTTGAACCTGGAAGAGAGAGACTCCTGCATGAGTTTCCCTCCTTACCTTGGCTGCTAGTTGCAATCAACGGCATCTTAGAGTGGTGAAACCATCAGAATCACCTGGGCAGCTTTTGCAAACTGCACTTGCTCCTCCAGAAATTCCAATCTGTCTCCCTACAGGAAAATGTTCTCCTTCCTCCCACAAGATCCATTGCTTTGGCAAGCCTCTGTGCTATTTTTTTAAATATTTATTTATTTATTTTTGAGACGGAGTTTTGCTCTTGTTTCCCAGGCTGGAGTATAATAGTGCAACCTCAGCTCACTGCAACCTCCGCCTCCTGGGTTCAAGTGATTCTCCTGCCTCAGCCTCCCAAGTGGCTGGGATTATAGGCACCCACCACCACGCCTGGCTAATTTTTTGTATTTTTAGTAGAGACGGGGTTTCACCATGTTGGTCAGGCTGGTCTCGAACTCCTGACCTGAGGTGATACACCTGCGTCGGCCTCCCAAAGTGCTAGGATTACAAGCGGGAGCCACCGTGCCTGGCTAACGTCTGTGCTATTTAAGAGCAAATCCTACTCCTCATGTCTGTTGGGTTGGGGAAAGAGTTAAGAATCATTATCTTGCCTGGGTGCAGTGGCTCATGCCTGTAATCCCAGCACTTTGGTAGGCCGAGGCAGGCAGATCATCTGAGGTCAGGAGTTCGAGACCAGCCTGACCAACATGGAGAAACCCCTGGGCAACCAGGACTACAGGTGCATACCGCTACACACAGGATCGTGTTATGCCACCCAGGTTGGTCTAGAACTCCTGGCCTCCAGCAATCCTCCCATGTTGGCCTCCCAAAGTGCTGGTACAGGCTTGGGCCACTGTACCTGGCCCAAAAATTTTATTTATTTATTTATTTATTTATTTATTTATTTATTTATTTATTTTGAGACAGAGTCTCGCTCTATCGCCCAGCCTGGAGTGCAGTGGTGCAATTTCAGCTCACTACAACCTCCGCCTCCTGGGTTCAAGCCATTCTCCTGTCTCAGCCTCCCGAGTAGCTGGGATTACAGGCACATGCCACCACGCCCGGCTAATTTTTTTGAGTAGAGATATAGGGTTTCACCAAGTTGGCCAGGCTGCTGGTCTTGAACTCCTGACCTCAGGATCTACCTGCCTCGGCCTCCCAAAGTGCTGGGATTACTGGCGTGAACCACCACTGCACCCAGCTCCAAAATGTTTATTAACTGCTAAATTGGAGCAAGCGATGTATCAGTGACGGTCTCCAGGGCATGCATGTTTTGCGTTAATGACACCTGCACTCTCTTCTTTCCTACCTTTGCCCATTACCTCATTTTTCTGAGTTTTTGTCAAATGATTGGTTCTTTATCCTTTGAAGGGCAAATAAATACTCAAGCAGCAAGTTAAACAAATGGCTGAGGAGGCTCTGATTGTTAAGAAGTCTGAAGTGAAGACTCAGTTTACCTCCATCATTTCCTGTGGACGGGTTAAGGCTAGCAGATTTATCAATTGAGTCCAGTCCGTTGTTGGGCGGCTGAATTTGCATTTTCCCTCTTCCTGCTCACTTCTCATTTTCCCTCACTCTTGCCACCCTGGATTGCACCTCCCAATTAAGCATAAGCATGCAGGCTTTGCCTAGGCCTGTTTTCTAGGGCAACTGGACTCATAGACCAATATTATTATTAGCTGGTATTATCGATAAGAAGATAGATATACATGTGTGGATATTCCCAGGTTGACCCTGCATTTCTACTGTCCACCCTGATTTGTTCCCCAGGAGTGACCTTTATGGACCATATAATGGGCTCCCTTGCACTCTGGCCTCTGGGAGGTTTCAGACAATGAGAGGAGCCAGTGGGTGATCAGAGGATGGGAGGATCCCAGCACTTTTGGAAGGCTGGGGCAGCAAGACCACTTGAGACAAGACTTTGAGACCAGCCTGGGCAACATAACAAGACCCCATCTCTATAAAAATAAAAAACATTAGCTGGGCATGGTGGTGCATGCCTGTAGTCCCAGCTTCTCAGGTGGCTGAGGCCAGAGGATCACTTAAGCCCAGGAATTCGAGGTTACAGTGATCTATAATCACAGCACTGCACTCCAGCGTGGGTGACAGAGTGAGACCGTGTCTCTAAAATTTTTTTAATTGATTTGATTAAAAATAGAGAGGATGAGAGGAGAGTGAGATGGGGATTTTTCTTTCCCAGCTCCCTCTCTGCTGGTAAAGGCTGCATTTCTCTACTGAAGGCCATGGCTCCTAACAGCTATCTGTTCCACAGCTGCAGCTCTTGCTGGATTCCAGTAACTGCCCTCTCTCTGCTTCTTCAGGCCAGCAGGTAGCAAGGGCTCTCCATTATTGCTGGCCCCAGGGCGTGTTACCATCCCTCTTTGGTTTCCTTTTTTGTTGTTGTTGAGACGGAATTTTGCTCTTGTCACCCAGGCTAGAGTGCAACAGCGCGATCTTGGCTCACTGCAACCTCCGCCTCCTGGGTTCAAGCAATTCTCCTGCCTCAGCCTCCCTAATAGCTGGGATTACAGGTGAGTTCTACCACACCCGGCTAATTTTTGTGTTTTTAGTATAGATGGGGCTTCGCCAAGTTAGCCAGGCAGGTCTTGAACTCCTGACCTCAGGTGCTCTGCCCGCCTCGGCCTCCCAAAGTGCTGAGATTACAGCCATGAGCCACCTGGCCTCTTTGGTTTACTTTGACCCTGACTACACCTCTATAGTTTCTTCCTTAAACTCTTTTCAACTCCTCTTTGAATAGTCATATGTTTCTTTCCTCTTTTTCTTCTTCTTTTTCTTATTTTTGTGGTGGTGGTTGTTGTTGTTCAGACAGGGCCACGCTTTGTCACCCAGGCTGGAGTGCAGTGGCACAATCATAGCTCACTACAACCTCGACCTCCCAGGCTCAGGTAATCCTCCCACCTCATCTTCCAAGTAGCTGGGATACAGGTGTGCACCACCAAGCCCTGCCGTTCACAATTTTTGTATTTTTTAGTTTTTTGTAGAGATGGGATCTTGCTATGTTGCCCACGCTGGTCTTGAACTCCTAGCCTCAAGTACTCCTCCCACCTCAGTCTCCCAGAGTGTTAGGATCACAGGAGTGAGCCACCGTGCTCGGTCAAGTCATATGTCCCTTAAATGGGCTCTTACTGATACACACCAAGAGGTTGGGTGACTTTCCCAAAGTCACACAGAGTAAGTGACAAGGCAGCTGAGAGCATTGTCACTGGAACACAGAGCAGGGTGGAGGCTTTTTCAACCTCACCAGCCTGCCCAGCCCCCTCCCAGGGTCCCTATGCCCTGCCCAACCTGCTGGAATCTGTGATCCTTCTGTTGGGATGGGATTGAATTCCCTAGGGCTCCTGTCCTGGACCTGGCCAGCAGCTCCAGTAACCAGAGCTGTGTGAGAAGAAAAGGCCAAGCCACTGGGGCAGCCGCACCCCAAACAGAGGTGAGGTCTCTGATGAGTCATGCCCGTGAGGGGCCACTTCCCCTGTCCTAAGGGCCACTCCTCATCAAGGACCCAGAATACTGTCCTCCTCTTTGACCTTTGCCTACGGTGTTTTTCATCCCTCCCTCTCCCACCCAACAGGTGTCCTGGAGCTAGGACACCTGTCCCCCACCCCCACCCTGGGCCTCCAGAGACGTGAGATGTGCTCAGGGCTCTGGGTGGGGCCTTCAGGCTCCCCAGCTTCCTCCTTCCAGCCCCAGATCCTCTCAGATTTCCAGAGATGGGCTCCAGCCAGGGAGGGTGGGGCTGCCCCTGGGACCATCAGGAGTCACGGGCTGCCTGGGCAGTGACAGAGCCCTGCAGGGAGCAGACCTTCACTTGGCTGTGCCTCCTCTGACTCTAACGCCATGGCCAGGCACCTGCTCCTCCCCGTTGTGATGCTTGGTAACCTCAGGGGACAGAAGTGGCTGCAAAGGGCCTGGGTCCTAGCACCTGGGGGACTGAAGAGCAGGATTCCTGGGTTCCGTGTGGGGAGGAGGACGTCAGAAGGAAGGAAGTGAGGCAGCAGAAGGCGACGGTGTATCAGAGGAGGGAGAGGGAGGCCTGGGTGCCCTGGGGAGACGGAGGCTAGGAGGCTAGGGGAGGGAGTCAGGGAGGGCATCTACTGAGTGCGAGTCACCAGCCTCTTCCTGCCTGCCTCTGTCTTTCCAGTCCTCAGTCCCATCCCAGGAGCCTTCCAGGACTCAGGTAAGGCAGCCGGACTGGCGGAAAGTCACGTGCAGAGGCAGAAAAGACCAGAGGACTGGCATGGGTGCTGGCAGGGGTTGCTGAATAGACAGGGAATTGGGAAGATAGGGTCAGGGGTTGGAGAGCAGGAAGTGGGGCTGGGCGGTGCAGGTCTGGAACTCACAAGTATCCTCTTCTCTTTACCCTCTGACTCCCAGCTCTCAGTCCCACCCAGGAAGAACCTGAAGATCTGGGTAAGGAAGAGGCCTTGGCACCCTCAGACCTTAAAGGAGGCTAAGGCTGGTCAGGCCATGAGGGAGGTGGAAAAGACCAGAAATGTAGACAAGCCTGGGTCCTCTATGTTCTTTGTTCAGAGGGGCAAACTGAAATGGGTGGAGGACGGGGCTTCGTGCTGAGTTACCTGGGCTTCTGGAGTGGGGAACCTGAGGTGGGCTTTGGCTTCCACGGCTCCCCGTTGCAGACTGCGGGCGCTTTGAGCCCTCGACCCGCATCGTGGGGGGCTCAGACGCGCAGCCGGGCACCTGGCCTTGGCAGGTGAGCCTGCACCATGGGGGTGGCCACATCTGCGGGGGCTCCCTCATCGCCCCCTCCTGGGTCCTCTCTGCTGCTCACTGTTTCATGACGTGAGTATTCGCCCTGGACCCAGCCCCTCTCCCCCAAAGGCCAGCCCCGCCCCCGCAGTTGATCCCCTCCTCCCGCCCCACTTCATAATTTGGAGCTGAGCTGTCCCCAAAGCGAGGTGCTCTTCAAGGCATCGTGGTTCTGAGTAGGGCAAGGCTGACATACTGGTCCCACCACTTCACTGAATATCCGAGTCTGAATCCCAGCTTTCCAATGACCCCCCACCACCACCTCAAGATCGGATTTGCCCTTCCCCTTTGAGGAGTATCAGCACCAAATCTGGATCGGATAGCACCTGCCCCTCTGGCTCTGAGACCCTTCCCCCCACGAGGGTCTGCCCCCTCTATAGGGTCAACCTAACCTCCTACTGCCCCGGCCGAGCGCAGGAACGGGACGCTGGAGCCCGCGGCCGAGTGGTCAGTACTGCTGGGCGTGCACTCCCAGGACGGGCCCCTGGACGGCGCGCACACCCGCGCAGTGGCCGCCATCGTGGTGCCGGTCAACTACAGCCAAGTGGAGCTGGGAGCCGACCTGGCCCTGCTGCACCTGGCCTCACCCGCCAGCCTGGGCCCCGCCGTGCGGCCCGTCTGCCTGCCCCGCGCCTCACACCGCTTCGTGCACGGCACCGCCTGCTGGGCCACTGGCTGGGGAGACGTCCAGGAGGCAGGTGAATGGGACAGGACAAGAAAGGGGGCCTCGGGGAGGTGGGGCTTCAGGAGGTGAGGTTCCTGGGGCGGGGCCTCGGGAGGTGACGTTTCTAGGGCGGGGCTTCTGGAGGTGAGGTTCTTAGGGCGGGGCCTCGGAGGTGAGGTTCCTAGGGCGGGGTTTGGGGATGTGGGGCCACAGAGAGGAGCCTGGTGGGAGTCTTGGACGGTAGGTTTCTGTGGTCGGTAGATGAATCCCACACCAATCACCATGGAGCCTTCTCCCCACAAGGATTCTCAAACTAAGACCACGGAATCCCCACGGAAACTAAGACCACAGGCACCCCATTCCCTCACCTTTTTTTCCAGTTTTTTCTTTCCTGGATTTAGGCTCCGACTAGGGCTCCCATCCCAGCTCTACCATGTCAGACAAAGCGCTTGACCCAGTACATTTCCTCCTCTGTAACACGAGGAAAATAGCCATGCCCACTTCAAGAGGTGGTTGGGTGGATTAAATGAGAAAATCCATGTAAAGTTCATAGGACAGTGCCTGGCATAGCAATAACCAATGCACTTTAGATATTTCACCTCAGGTAATCTATAGTAAAGCAGTAAAGCACAAGGCTGGCCTATAATAGATGTTCAGTGAATGCCAATCTGTGCCTCCCTCCCGTCCGCCTTCCTCCCATCCCATCCACCCCGACTCATCTCTGTACTCCCCACCTCCTCTCTTCTCCCTACCCACCGTCATTCACTCAGTCATTCTTTCACTCAAGATATTTCTTGAGCACCTTCTACGTGCCAGGCACTGTGTTAGGCATTAGAGAGACACCAGTGAACATAAAAAGCCAAAATCCTGCCTTTTCAGAGTTTACATCCTAGCAGACAGACAAACAACAAGTTCAATAAATAAGCACACATTATGTTAGAAGGTGGGGGGGAATAGACCGAATCTCCATCCCCCTTATCCCCATCACCCAAGCTTTCCATGCTCCCAGGGTCCCCACAAATATCCCCATCGACCATGGTCAGACCTGTGCCCATCCTGGGGGCTTTGGGAAGGTGCTGCAGGGGGTGATGCCACAGCCTCTGCTTGTGGAGGTCCCATGAGGGCGGGAGGTGACAAGGAAGCGTCACTGTGAGCCCCAGGAAGTTTGTGTGAATGGGGCCAGGCCATCCTGACAATGGGCACCCAGAGAAGTAGATTTCTGCAGAGGTTTTCAAAGAGAGGGTGCATTGCAGGAAGACGGGGGAAGATGAAGGCCAGATAAGGACCCAGATAAGGCATGTTAGATGAAGAAGAGCCAGGATGCCAGGCTGGAGTGAGAAGGGGACAGGCACCTGGGCTGCAAAGGCTGCTGAGGGCCGACCATGAAGGCCTTAAGATCAGACTGAGGGCCAAAGCACTCACCAGCTCCAGGGATGCCCAGGACAATCCCCAACTTCCCTGGTGAGCCCCAAGTACAGCTTCAGCCATCACCTGACCTCAGATTCTTTTTTATTTATTTTTATTTTATTTAATTTTATTATTTATTTTTTTGAGACGGAGTTTCGCTCTTGTTGCCCAGGCTGGAGTGCAACGGCACGATCTAGGCTCACTGCAACCTCCACCTCCCAGCTTCAAGCACATTCTCCTGCTTCAATCTCCCAAGTAGTTGGGATTACAGGCACCCACCACCATGCCCGGCTAATATTTTGTATTTTTAGTAGAGACGGGGTTTCACCATGTTGGCCAGGCTGGTTTTGAACTCCTGACTTCAGGTGATCCACCTGCCTCAGCCTCCCAAAGTGCTGGGATTGCAGGCGTGAGCCACCATGCCTTTGACCTCAGATTCTGAGTGTGGTGGGGAAGGAGTTCTGTCTGTACTTCCCCCCACCTTTCTGGATCCTAAAAAGCAGGATGGGGCTGCAGCACCAGGTTTAGACAGTGGGATCCATTTATTTTTCTTGGTGAGATCAGAAATGAACTTGAGTAACCTTCCTCTTCATTGCTGAAGTGAAGAGTGGATCAGAAGACTGGGTCAGTTATCCAGGCCCAAAGCTATGCATCCTCAATGAGGGTAGTTGGTGAGAATGCCAAGAAGTCACAAATGAGAGGTTTTCATGAACTGGGAACTGACTGGGGGAGGGGAGTTGAGAGAGGAGACAGGGATGACACCCAGATTCCATGCTTGGCAACTCGAGACAGGATCATGTCAAGTCCATATGGCATCTTTGTGAAAAGATGTCTCTGGACCAATACAACTCCACATGAGAGCTCAGACTTAATGATTATAGTCCCTAAATTGCATCCTTTATTGCAGTGTACAACCTGCACAACCATGCATGGCAGCTCTCACTAGGAGCTTGATGGGACCATTCCTGAGATGAAGAAGTAGAAAGAATAGAGAGAAGCAGCAGGAGATGTGGTGAATGCGATGGGCTGAGAGGCCATGGGACATCTAGCTGATGTCCAAGAAGCAGCCACAGGGGGCAAACCTGAATCCTGGGAACTGGGGACACCATACCTGCCTCACAGCACCTGCTCTCTGGTTCTGCCCCCAGATCCTCTACCTCTCCCCTGGGTGCTACAGGAAGTGGAGCTAAGGCTGCTGGGTGAGGCCACCTGTCAGTGTCTCTACAGCCAGCCCGGTCCTTTCAACCTCACTCTCCAGATATTGCCAGGGATGCTGTGTGCTGGCTACCCAGAGGGCCGCAGGGACACCTGCCAGGTGAGGGAAGGCCCCTGCACCTGCCTGCCAGGGCCAGAGTCCTAACCGGTGACAAACAGATAAATGACATCTCTCCTAGCCTCATCTGCAAAAGGAGGACAAGATTGCCAAGCGATGGGGTTGACGTGTATTTTTTTGTTTGTGTATTTTGAGACAGAGCCTCACTTTGTCACCCAGGCTGGACTGTAGTGGCACAATCTCGGCTTACTGCAAGCTCCCCCTCCCCCCACCCCCACCACTCAAGCAACTCTCGTGCTTCAGCCTCCCAAGTAGCTGAGATTACAGGCATGCACCACCACAGCCTGATAATTTTGTATTCACTTGCGCCTGGCCAAGTGAATTAATTAATTAATTTATTTATTTATTTATTTATTTATTTATTGAGACGGAGTTTCGCTCTTGTTGCCCAGGGCAGAGTACAATGGCATGATCTCAGCTCACCACAACCTCTGCCTCCCAGGTTCAAGCGATTCTCCTGCTTCAGCCTGCCAAGTAGCTGGGATTATAGGCATGTGCCACCACGCCCAGCTAATTTTTAGCAGAGATGGTGCTTCTCTATGTTGGTCAGACTGGTCTCGAACTCCCAACCTCAGGTGATCTGCCTGCCTCAGCCTTCCAAAGTGCTGGGATTACAGGCGTGAGCCACCGCACCCGGCTATTTATTTATTTATTGAGACAGAGTTTTGCTCTTGTTGCCCAGGCTGGAGTGCAATGGCATGATCTTGGCTCACTGCAAACTGCACCTCCTGAGTTCAAGCAAATCTCCTGGCTCACCCTTCCAAGTAGCTGGGATTACAGGCATGAGCCACCATGTCCAGCCAAGGCCAAGTGAATTTAAAAACCAAAGACAGCATCGCCAGGAGCAGTGACTCATGCCTGTAATCCCAGCTAGTCAGAAAATTGAGGCAGGAGGATCACTTGAGCCCAGGAGTCTGAGACCAGCCTGAGCAACATAGTGATACCTCGTCTCAAAAAAGGAGAGGAACTGGCTTGGCACAGTGGCTCACACCTGTAATCCCAGCACTTTAGGAGGCCAAGGCAGGCGTATCACTTGAGCTCGGGAGTTTGAGACCAGCCTGGCCAACATGGAGAAAATCCATCTCTACTAAAAAGACAAAAATTAGCCGGCTGCGGTGGTGTACACCTATAGTCCCAGCTACTCGGGAGGCTGAGGCAGGAGAATCACTTGAACCCGGGAGGCAGAGGTTGCAGTGGGCCGAGATTGCACCACTGCACTCCAGCCTGGGAAACAGAGCATTTCCCAGGCTGTCTCAAAAAAGAAAAGAAAGAAAGAAAAAGAAAGGGAAGGAAAGAAGGAAGGAAGGGAGGGAGGGGGAGGGGAATTATTTGAGCTAGTAACTGGACAAGAATCACTTGGCTCTGATGACACCTGCAGGATTCTCTTTCGTGGTCTTGAATGCACTCCCCCGGTGCTCTTGGCTCTGGCTGCCATCAGCCTTCTGCTTACAGGGTTTTCTTTTGTTTAGAGCCCCAGGGAATGCAGAGGACAAGGCCTAGCCAAGGAGGGTTTCTAGAAGGGAGAAGGTGGTGTATCTTGGGCCAAAAGAAGGTGCAGGACCTTTTTGAGGAGGCCAGTATAAACGGGTGGGTCCCTGGGCTGACCCCTTGACATGCAGTCATCTGTCACTAGGGTGACTCTGGGGGGCCCCTGGTCTGTGAGGAAGGTGGCCGCTGGTTCCAGGCAGGAATCACCAGCTTTGGCTTCGGCTGTGGACGGAGAAACCGCCCTGGAGTTTTCACTGCCGTGGCTACCTATGAGGCATGGATACGGGAACAGGTGATGGGTTCAGAGCCTGGGCCTGCCTTTCCAACCCAGCCTCAGAAGCCCCAGTCAGATCCCCAGGAGCCCAGGGAGAACTGCACCATTGCCCTGCCTGGTGAGTGGGCGGCACCCCTGGATGTGAGTGGGACGTGGGAGAGTGAGTTGGGATGGAGACTGCTGGGAGTGATTGGGGTGCAGGAGGCCCACTGACCCAGGTTTCTCACCTCTCAGAGTGCGGGAAGGCCCCGCGGCCAGGGGCCTGGCCCTGGGAGGCCCAGGTGATGGTACCAGGATCCAGACCCTGCCATGGGGCACTAGTGTCTGAAAGCTGGGTCTTGGCACCTGCCAGCTGCTTTCTGCAGTGAGTGAAAATCTGCGTTTCAAGCCGATCTTTGCCCCTCCCTACGTCAGCCTGAGACACCATTTATTTGGCCCCAGCCCCTCCCCTGGGGGGTGTGGGGCGTGTGGGATCCCATTCGGAGGTGTAGGATCCAGCACAAAAAGAGGGGTCCTGGCCTGGCAGGGGTGGATAGAGGCATGGTAGAAGTTCAATCCCGGAGGCAGGGGTGTGAGTGAGCCGCTGGAATGGGGGTAGCGTGGGGATCCCACCAGGATGCAGGATCCTCGCCAGGCGAGTCTAAGCCAGGGGTGCGAGGTTTCTAGCCACGTGTGCGGGATCCGGCCCACGTCCCTCGCCCCCTATCCCGCAGCCCGAGCAGCTCCGACAGCCCGCCCCGCGACCTCGACGCCTGGCGCGTGCTGCTACCCTCGCGCCCGCGCGCGGAGCGGGTGGCACGCCTGGTGCAGCACGAGAATGCCTCGTGGGAGGACGCCTCGGACCTGGCGCTGCTGCAGCTGCGCACGCCGGTGAACCTGAGCGCGGCTCCGCGGCCCGTGTGCCTGCCCCACCCGGAACACTACTTCCTGCCCGGAAGCCGCTGCCGCCTGGCCCGCTGGGGCCGCGGGGGTGAGCTGGGGCCCAGCGCTGGCCGGGGCGGCACCGGGCGGTGCAGGGGCCGTCTGGGCCGCAGCGCGGGCTCCCTGCCTTTTCCCTTCCAGAACCCGCGCTTGGCCCAGGCGCGCTGCTGGAGGCAGAGCTGTTAGGCGGCTGGTGGTGCCACTGCCTGTATGGCCGCCAGGGGGCGGCAGTGCCGCTGCCGGGAGACCCGCCGCACGCGCTCTGCCCTGCCTACCAGGAGGAGGAGGAGGCGGGCAGCTGCTGGGTAAGCGGCGGGGGCGGGGCCTGCGTGACGCAGGTCCGAGAGGGCTCTAGGAAGAGGGCGGGGCCTGTGGAAGGCGAGTCCAAGTGGGCTCTAGGGAGAGGGCGGGACCTGCGGAAGGCGGGTCCGAGTGGGCTCTAGGGAGGGAGCGGGGCCTGGGGAAGGCGGGTCTGAGTGGGCTCTAGGGAGGGGCGGGACTTGCGGAACTGGGAATGGGGCGGAGCCGAAGTGGAGGCGGGGCCAGAACGAACTGGGGGCGGGGCCTGGCCCTGGAGAACTTTTGGGAAGGGGCTGAGGCGGGCTCTGAGCTGGTGCTATGGTTTCTCTCTATCCCTGGATTTAAGGAGAATCCTAAAGTGAGGGCTGAATTCTTACACAAATTAGTATTTGGAGTCTGATTTGGAGAATGTGGAACTTGATATTTCTGCAAATGGGAAAATCTGGAGTCCTGGAAAGCCCCAGGAGTTCTGATACTCTCTGCACACACGCAGAGGCAAGTAACACACGCACTTTGTTGCTGCAGAATGACTCGCGTTGGAGCCTTTTGTGCCAGGAGGAGGGGACCTGGTTTCTGGCTGGAATCAGAGACTTCCCCAGTGACTGTCTACGTCCCCGAGCCTTCTTCCCTGTGCAGACCCATGGCCCATGGATCAGCCATGTGACTCGGGGAGCCTACCTGGAGGACCAGCTAACCTGGGACTGGGGCCCTGATGGGGAGGAGACTGAGACACAGACTTGTCCCCCATACACACAGCATGGTGGTGAGCAGGACGCCTTTGGGCTCTAGGGGCTCCTGGGGGTGCATAGACCCGTGGCAGGGGCTCAGGGGTCAGCCATGGGGCCCCAACTGAGGTAGCCACCTCCTCTCCCTAGCCTGTGGCCTGCGGCCGGAGGCTGCTCCAGTGGGGGTCCTTTGGCCCTGGCTGGCAGAGGTGCATGTGGCTGGTGATCGAGTCTGCACTGGGATCCTTCTGGCCCCAGGCTGGGTCCTGGCAGCCACTCACTGTGTCCTCAGGTGGGTCTTACTCATCTCCTAGGCGAGAGGCGGGAAGGGAGAATGGAACAGAGCCAAAGACTTGTTGTTTGTTTGTTTGTTTAAAAAAATTAACAATGGGATCTTGCTGTGTTGCCCAGGCCGGCCTCAAGCAATCCTCCTGCCTTGGCCAATGTGCTAGGATTACAGGCATGAGCCACTGTGCCTGGCCCAGAGGACTCTTAAAATAGTGGAATAGTCTCCTTTAAGCATCTTACAGCCGGGCGCAATGGCTCATGCCTGTAATCTTAGCACTTTGGGAGGCTGAGGCGGGCGGATCACGAAGTCAGGAGTTCAAGACCAGCCTGGCCAACATGGTGAAACCCCTCTACTAAAAATACAAAAATTAGCCAGGGGTGGTGGCACCTGTAACGTTACCCAGCTACTTGGGAGGCTGAGGCAGGAGAATCGTTCGAACCCGGGAGGCAGAGGTTTCAGTGACCCAAGACTGCACCACTGCACTGCAGCCTGTGCGACAGAGCAAGACTCTGTCCAGGGTGGGGCGTGAGGGAAGAATCTTACAGCACTGGGAGATGTTTTGACCTGGAAGGGAGATTTGGAAGGAGGGATGATGAAGGAGTGAGTGGCATGACCCCAGAGAGTCATCCTTCCCACTTTGCCTGCAATGGGAGGAGCAGAAGGTTACATTGGGCCTTGTTCCAACAGGCCAGGCTCTACAACAGTGCCTTACATTGAAGTGTATCTGGGCCGGGCAGGGGCCAGCCCCCTCCCACAGGGCCACCAGGTATCCCGCTTGGTCATCAGCATCCGGCTGCCCCGGCACCTGGGACTCAGGCCCCCCCTGGCCCTCCTGGAGCTGAGCTCCCGGGTGGAGCCCTCCCCATCAGCCCTGCCCATCTGTCTCCACCCGGCGGGTATCCCTCCGGGGGCCAGCTGCTGGGTGTTGGGCTGGAAAGAACCCCAGGACCGAGGTGAGACTCCTGGGTTGCGGGAACAAGGAGTGGCTGGAGGCCAGAGCCCTGGAACAACTCTGTCTCCTCTCCCCAGTCCCTGTGGCTGCCGCTGTCTCCATCTTGACACCACGAATCTGCCACTGCCTCTATCAGGGAATCCTGCCCCCTGGAACCCTCTGTGTCCTGTATGCAGAGGGGCAGGAGAACAGATGTGAGGTAAAGGGGCCTGGGCATCCTGGAGTAGGCAGGAGAGAGGCAGTGTTGGACTGTGGTACCCTAGAGAGAGAGCAGGATTGGAATTTTTTTTTTTTTTTTTTTTTTTTGAGACTGAGTCTCGCAGTGTCGTCCAGGCTGGAGTGCAGTGGCATGATCTTGGCTCACTGCAGCCTCTACCTCCCAGGTTCGAGCAATTCTCCTGCTTCAGCCTCCCTAGTAGCTGGGATTGCAGGCATGCACCACCACGCCTGGTTAATTTTTGTATTTTTAGTAGAGACGGGGTTTCACCATGTTGGCCAGGCTGGACTCAAACTCCTGGCCTCAAATGATCCGCCCACCTTGGCCTCCCAAAGTGCTGAGATTACAGGTGTGAGCCACCGCACCCGGCCAGGACTGGAATTATTGGGTGTTTGGCCCCAAATGGGACCCTAGCTGGATCCCGGAGAGAAACTGGGGACCTGGATGTCTAGGGATGCAGACCAGAGTGCTTCGTGGCCAGACCCTGGGGAAAGGGGCAGGGGACCAAGAGGAAGGGCAGCAGACCCACGCGGCCTCGTTCCAACTCTGCAGATGACCTCAGCACCGCCTCTCCTGTGCCAGACGACAGAAGGCTCCTGGGTCCTCGTGGGCATGGCTGTTCAAGGGAGCCGGGAGCTGTTTGCCGCCATTGGTCCTGAAGAGGCCTGGATCTCCCAGACAGTGGGAGAGGCCCACTTCCTGCCCTCCAGTGGCTCCCCACACTGGCCCACTGGAGGCAGCAACCTCTGTCCCCCAGAACTGGCCAAAGCCTCAGGATCCCCGCGTGCAGTCCACTTCCTGCTCCTGCTGACTCTCCTGATCCAGAGCTGAGGGGCTAGGGTCCCGGCGCCACTTACCCCTTCTCCACCCTCTACTTCCCGCCCAGCGGGGCTGGAATGTGGCCCAGCCAGCTTGAACCTCAAGGGCCCCACCCACCTAGATTGCAGAGGCTCGGGCTAATTGGGCCTCAGTGCCCGGGCTATTTTGAACCTAGGAATCCTTGGGGGTGGCGGGAGGAGCGGGACAGTAAAGGTGTAAACACAGGCACCTGTGTGGCCTTGTGGCATTGCTGTGGGCAGGCTGAGGGGCTGGGCATCAAAGGCTAAGCGGGAAGCCCAAGGGGGAGGTCCCCTCCCTCCTCCCTCCTCCCTCCTCCCTCCTCCCTCCTCCGGCCTCTGAGTCAAGTCTTGGGCTCTCAGGAAATGCATGCTGATAACCTGGCAGCGATTCCTTCATTCCTGCCCCAGGGCAGGGAGGTCGGGTGGCCAGCTGGCTGTGTGTCACCTGTCCAGTGGAGTCAGCACCCTCGGCACGTGCTGGACATCTCAACCCCAGCTCAGACCTGCTGCCCTCGCTGCCTGCCATAGACACATCTCAATGCATGATGCTCCGATGTGTCCCCCCCACACACACAACACATGGGCCCTTCAAGGGTCCACTGCTTTCACATTCTGCCCAGAACTTGGTTCCCTTGTATGTGAACCCCACTCCCTCACCCACTGCTTACCTGCACCTTCCTGCATTCATTCAACCCGTGTTCTCTGGTGGCTACTAAGTCGTGGCACAATTGGAGTCTGATATATAAGCCCACAAAGCCCTCCCAATCTAGTGAGGACACATGTGGACACCCCTGGCTGGGATCGGGAGGAGGTCATACCAGTGATGTTTGAGCACAGGAAAAGGGAAGGTGGTTTCCAGCCAGTGAATGTACAATTAAAAAGTAAAGCAAAACCAGAGACAGGGTGCAGTAGATCATGCCTGTAATCCCAGCACTTTGGGAGGATCACTTGAGGCCAGGCATTCCAGACCAGCCTGGGCAACAAAGCAAGACCCCCATCTCCACCTTTTTTTTTTTTGAGACAGTCTCACGCTGATGCTCAGGCTGGAGTGCAGTGGTGCAATCTCGGCTCACTGCAACCTCCGCCTCCTGGGTTCAAGCGATCCTCCTGCCTCAGCTCAAGTAGCTAGGATTGCAGACCCAAGACACCACGCCCGACTAATTTTTGTATTTTTATTTATTTTATTTATTTATTTTTAATTTTTGAAACAGTTTTGCTATTGTCGCCCACGCTGGAGTGCAATGGCACAATCTCGGCTCACTGCAACCTTCACCTCCCAGGTTCAAGCAATTCTCCTGCCTCAGCCTCCTGAGTAGCTGGGATTACAGACGCCCACCACCATGCCCAGCTAATTTTTGTATTTTTAGTAGAGATTGGGTTTCTCCATGTTGGCCAGGCTGGTCTTGAACTCCTGACCTCAGATGATCCACCCGCCTCAGCCTCCCAAAGTGCTGAGATTACAGGCATGAGCCACCGCATCTGGCCTATTTATTTATTTATTTTGAGATGGAGTCCCCTCTGTTGCCCAGGCTGGAGTGCAGTGGCACAATCTTGGCCTCCCGGGTTCAAGTGATTCTCCTGCCTCAGCCTCCCGAGTAGCTAGGATTACAGGTATGCACCACCACGCCTGGCTAATTTTCTTTGTATTTTTTAGGAGAGACGGGGTTTTACCATGTTGGCCAGGCTGGTCTCAAACTCCTAATATCGAAGAGTGATCCTCCCACCTTGGCCTCACAAAGTGCTGGGATTACAGGTGTGAGCCACCACATTGAAGCTCCACAATTTTTTTTTTTTTTTTTTTGAGACGGAGTCTTTCTCTGTTGCCCAGGCTGGAGTGCAATGGCGCAATCTCAGCTCACTGCAACCTCCGCCTCCCGGGTTCAAGCGATTCTCCTGCCTCAGCCTCCTGAGTAGCTGGGATTACAGGGGCGTGCCATCACGCCTGGCTAATTTTTGTATTTTTAGTAGAAATGGGGTTTCACCATGTTGGTCAAGATGGTCTCGAACTCCTGACCTCGTGATTCGCCTGCCTCAGTCTCCCAAATTGCTGAGATTACAGGCGTGAGCCATCGTGCCCGGCCAACTTTTTTTTTTTTTTTAAATTAGCTGGGCATGGTGGCATGCACCTGTAATCCCAACTACTGAGGAGGCTGAGGAGGGAGAAGCACTTGAGCCCAGGGGTTCAAGGCTGCAGTGAGCCATGATTGTACCACTAAACTCCAGCCTAGGCAACGGAGTGAGATCCTGTCTCAAAAAGAGAAAGAAAAAGGACAAATGGGGACCTGAGGAAGGATAGGTTTGGGGGTGAAAGCCAGCTGATGAGGGTGGCAGAGGGGTCGCCTCTCGGGCTAGGCACAATCTCTGGCTTGAGAAGGAAGAGGAAGGGGGTAAAGGGCCTAAAGGGAAGCTGGAATTTTTCACTGGGAGGCTTAGGAGAAGGGCAGAGGTTCTTACGAAGCCAGGCTTAGCCTTAGCAGCCACATGCCAGCTATAATACTCCCCAGGATCTTCACAGTGCGTACATCCCCACCTGCTCCCATACCCAGTCAGTCACCCCATGCCATCTCCACAAACACTACACTCACCCCTTCCTCTACTGAAACCCACCCACCAGGCCCCATGTCTTGCCCCCTCCTCCCAGCTAAGACACTCCTTCCAGTCAGGCCCCTCCCACTCACCCACCCCAGGAATAACCTGACCTCCAGCCTGGACCCCAGACATCTGGTCTCCAGAAAGCAGGTGAGGACTCTAGGCTCTGCTTTTCCTGAAGCTCAGACCCAACAGGTGTTTTTTGTTTTTTGCCTTTTTGTTTTTTGTTTGAGACAGGGTCTCGCTGTGTCGCCCAAGCTGGAGGGCAGTGGCGCCATCTCGGCTCACTGCAATCTCTGCCTTCTGGGTTCAAGTGATTCTCCTGCCTCAGCCTCTCGAGTAGCTAGGATTACAGGCATGCACCACCACACCCAGCTGATTTTTTTTGTATTTTCAGTAGAGACAGGGCTTTGCCATGTTAGCCAGGTTGGTCTCCAACTCCTGACCTCAGGTGATCCTCCTGCCTTGGCCTCCCAAAATGCTAGGATTACAGGCATGAGCCACCACACCCAGCCTCAACAGGTGTTTTGAACGGCCAGAGTGGCCCTCAAAGAGGACATGCCTCACCCCCACTGCAGCCACATGGCAGGCTTTGTTTCCCTGAGCCTCTGCCCTCTGCAATCCATCCCCCGCATCTTCACCTTACCACCTTTTATAACCCCTTTCGGTCTCAGTTCCCAAGGCAGTTCCTCCAGGACCCTTTCACAATGCCAGCCTTTGCCAGGCTGCAGTATGCTCATGCCATTCTTTTTCATCGCTATTCCTAGCTTGAAATTATTGTGTAATTGCAATTTTTAAAAATTTATTTTTATTTTTTATTTTTTTTAGACAGGGTCTCCCTCTGTTGCCCAGGCTGGAGTGCAGTGGTGCGACCACGCTCAATGCTTCATTGAACTCCTGGGCTCAAGCAATCCTCACACCTCAGCCTCCCAAGTAGCTGGGACCATAGGCATGCACCACAATGCCTGCCTAATTTTTATATTTCTTTTGGAGATGAGGCCTCGCTATATTCCCCAGGCTGGTCTGGAACTCCTGGCCTCAAGCGATGCTCCAGCCTCAGCCTCCCAAAGCCGACTAGTCACCTTGCCAGCCTGTTGGTGATTATTTGATTGAAGTGTGTCACCCCTACTTCACAAGCTCAGGGCTCAAGGGGAACAGGGCTGGTGCCTGTTTTGTCCTGGGCACCTGGGAACATCATAGGCACTCAGGAAATGTCTGTGGGATGATTGCTGCTGCTCCACAAGCTCACCACCACCGTCAGGTGCAGGCTTCGCAGAAAGAGCCTGGCGGGGAGCTGACCCTAGTGTCTTAAGCTCCCATACCCAGCCTAAGGAGGGAGGGAAGGAGGGAGGAGTGGCTGTGGCTCCAGATAATAAGGGCTGGGGCCAGGCCCTGAGGGGCATAACTGGCCTGAGATAACCTGAAAGACCTGAGGCAGAGGAGAGTCCATCACATTCCAGGGAGACTGCGGGCACACACACAAACCACATGCACGTGTGTACACACTCACACACACACTACACAAACACACACTACACACACAGGGACACAGCGTACATATGTGCGCACACACACAGCATGTGCATGCACACACACACCACACCACTTAAGGGGATACACCCACACCATATACACACTACACACCGGGACAAACGGACTATGCACACGCACACACATACATACACACACAGACACATACATGTACACACGCGGGCCTGCGGCTCTGAAAGGACTCATGACTTTGGTGGCAGGAGGAGCTGGTGGGGCCCAGCCAGTGGGCGGGGCCAGGGGAGGGGCGAGCAGGTAGGTGCAGCCACTCCTGGGAGGACCTTGCGTGGCCAGACCGTGCTGGTGACTTGTCCACACTGCTCGCTGCAGATACTCCAGGCGTCTCCCGTTGCGGCTGCTCCCTGCCTTAGAGGCCAGCCTTGGACACTTGCTGCCCCTTTCCAGCCCGGATTCTGGGATCCTTCCCTCTGAGCCAACATCTGGGTCCTGCCTTCGACACCACCCCTAGGCTTCCTACCTTGTGCGCCTGGAGTCTGCCCCAGGGGCCCTTGTCCTGGGCCATGGTCCAGAATGGGGTCCTGGGGCCTGGGCAGCTGGGGGCTGTGGCCATTCTGCTCTATCTTGGATTATTCCGGTGGGGGACAGGTAAGTGAAGACGTGGGGGCGGGGTGGGGACAATGCACAGGAGGAAGTCAACGTGATCGTTTTCTGGGGTGCGCCCTTGTCTGGGACCCAAGAAAACCCACGGCCTCCCTAGCTCTTGGCCTCCCTTTCCCACCTCGGCTCTGCCAGGGAAGGGGCCAGCCCTCTGGAGCAGTGGTGGGTGCTAAGGGGTCAGGGAACCCGAGTCTTCCCTACTCACCCCTCCTCTTTCTTTCTTTCTAGGAGCAGAAGGGGCCGAAGGTGAGACTTTCCTCAGTGAGGGAGGAGGGAAGGGGGAGGTGACTTGGATCGGATTCCCCTGGGGTTTAACCAGTGCCTGGCCTTTGGCTGGGCTGCCTTCCAACTAGATTCTCTTAGGGCTCCCAGAGTGGGGGGTTGTAGCCCTCACCTTACGGGCAGAGAAGCAGGGACTTGCCCAGGGCACGCTGCCAGTGAGGGTGCAGCTGG